CACCTCTTAATGATTCTACCACTCCTTATAAATTTGAGCCTTTCACACATGGGTATTTGGGGTACATTGCAAACTAAAGCAGCTTTCAGGCTCTTTACATATAGGGCTGGATGCTAGGATGGTATTTTTTTATAGTGTCATCTGAATGTCTATGCAGACAACCTAAAGAATTTATCCTTGTAGAAGTATGTATATGATAAATTATATTAGTAGTGTCCTTAATGTTGAATTTCCCTCTATTCATGGGATAAAATCAAATTCTTTCATTCTTTACACTTTTATTTCTCTGCTTTTATCAGCATATATTAGTTTCCTTGGATCCTTTTCCTGTTACTTTTCTTCTTCTTCAGTTTCTTACATTGTCTTCAAGCCATTTTCTTCACTCTGATGACTTCAAGCAACAGTTAAATTGTATTACTTTCTAAATTTTTAATATTCAGCTTGCTTCTCTCCTGGACTCTCCAGAATCATGTTTGTAATTGCCTTTTGGACATTCCACATCTGGGACTTTAGGATTCCAGATATGATGTGTTCAGGTATGTATTACTTTTGCCATTATGTTCTTATGTTTTCTAAATTCTCTTTATAGCACCAGTATCTAACTAGCAGCATGCATGCAGGAAGCCTAGAAATATAAGGTCTGTTTTAATCTTCTGCTCAGCAAGTTAGTACTATATTCTGTTCCTGTCTTTTCTTTTTTGTCTTTTTGGATTACTTATTCAGTGTTCCTACTTCTGTATTTTCTGGTGGTGGTTTTCATGTAGTCCCATCATGTCTCATTCTGGTTTCTTCCCTTCGACTCTTCATTAACCCTTTCCAATTCTTTTTGTAAATTAAAATAATTTTTTTGTAGATGTACAGAATGCCTTTATTTCATTTATTCATTTATTTATTTATTTTTATGTGGTGCTGAGGATCAAATGCAGTGCCTCACATATGTTAGGCAAGCACTCTGCCACTGAGCTACAGCCCTGGCCTCCAGTGTTTTTTTAGGGAATGACTACTGAAATATAGAACTTCTTAGTTAACTGACCTGATCTTCTATGATCTCACTGTTTTCACCCTGTGGTTTGGAAAGTGGCAGTGCTCAGCCTGAAGTGAATAAAAACACACCTTTGGCATACAGGAAGGAAATATTGGGATGCCTCTCTACATGCTTTTAATTTGTAAGTAATAATAAACAATGTTGCTTAAAGTTGGAATCTTTTCAGTATTCAAGTGTAGAATCACCCACTCCATAATCTCTTCTTTCAGTGTTGTGTTTGTGTCATCATGATCCAGATTCCTTCACCTGGATTCAGCCAGGTGTGTGGTGTTTGTGTGCTGGTGACTGGATTCCTGCTGTCATGAGAACACATGGTTGATACATGGCAGAGCTTAAATGTTTTTGGTTTTTCAGCGAGGGGCAGTCTTATAGTACAAAATAGAACTTTATTCTCTTTCCTCAATTCATCTACATGGAAGTTGTGTTTGGTTCATCAAAGAAATTATTGTGGGTATTTATTCTTGTGTTGTCTTCATACTAAATAATAAGTGTTTTGAACAAGCAAAATTATATTCACACTTTAATCCCTAGCAACAAGGTTGATTTTCAGATCCAGAAGGTAAGCTTGATAATAGCATTAGTAACTAATTAATAAAATGATGCATGACTTTAATCTTAACTACTTAGGAGGCTGTGGCTGAAGGATCATAAGTTCCAGCCAGCATGTACAACTTATCAAGACCCTATCTCAAAGTGAAATGAACAGGGCTGGGTTTGTATCTCAGTGGTAGAGTGTTTGCCTAATATGTATAATGCCATGAGTATAATTCCCGGTGGTAAAGATAAATAAGTATTTAATTAAAAGGGCAGGATAGTGTATGATTTTTCTTTTCCCTGCCATGTAGAGTACAAAGCAAGCTGCATTCTATGTAAAATTCACATAACCCCCACCCCACAGCACATCCTTTAGACTAGGACTGATGATTTGAGAAATATGCTGTTACAAGTACTAGTGTCATTTGAGGATGTGGCTGTGGACTTCACCTGGGAGGAGTGGCAGGACCTGGATGATACTCAGAGGACTCTGCAAAGGGACCCGATGTTGGAGACCTACAGTTCCCTGATGTCACTGGGTGAGTGAAACTCTGCAGTTATTCTCAGAAGCAAGCCCTTTCTATAGTAAACACATGAACACTTGTAGGATTTAATGCTGTTTATATGGAAGATTCCAGTCTATGAAGAATTGATTGTGTTCCCATCTCTAAAAGGCTTACATAGGCTTCTTAGTTGCCTAGCCCCTGAAGTTGAGCTGTTGAAATTCTTCAAAGAACCTGCCTTAATAGTTTGGTAAAGTCCCAAGTTATTTGCCATTAACAGGACATTGCATCAGCAAACCTGAAGTGAACCTGGAGCAAGGAGCAGAGCCGTGGATGGGAGAACTCCCAAATGAGAGCATCAGTGAGTGCATATTGGGCTGGGAGGTCCTGAAGAGGAGAGCCAGGAGATGTTGGCCATGTTGTGCTGTCTTCACAAGCATTCCCCTAGGTCCCAGACATGAGAACAGCTATTCTATATACATAAGACATGTGAAATATAATCACTAAGGAGGACTCTCACATATATTCCTACCTTCAATTTTGCTGAATATTTTCTTACATTTACACCAAATCTAGTCTCTTAGACACTTCTTAGACATTTTTCTTTGATTTCTACTTTTTCTGATTCTCTGTTATCTCTTATCCTTCATTCTCATGTACTTTTTTTTTGCTGTCAGACATTTCTTCATAAATTTCTTTATGCTTCAAGCACATCCTAATGGAGCATATTTTACTACCATTGATTTTATATTTGTACCTATGACAGCAATGAGGGTGATTCTGTGCCTCTCATAGAATTTATTTATGATAATATTTAAATGAGAAGTTCCTGTGTATTGAGTAGGCAGTTAAGAACTGTGAAGAATATTTAACCAGAGTGAGACAGAGAGAAACAGGAAGTTATAATTTAAAAAGGATGGTGAGAGAAGACAGCCTTAGGGTGATTTTTTTGTTCATTGGTTGATTTGTTTTTATGGGGCTGGGCATAAAACCCATGTCCTTGTGCATACTCGTCAAGCACTTTTCAACTAGGTTATATTTTTAGGGGAATTATTAATATTTACACTGGTATTGTTTCAGTTACTGGTTTTGAAATTTTACAGAAAAAAACACAGGTTGATATAAAAAAAAGATCTAGATTTGCAAGCAGACCTCAGTCTTGGAAATGTAAATTTGGAAATTGATAGTGTAAATGTGGTAAAGTTATCCTTAGAAATTCAACAAAGGATTTCATAAAGAAAATGAGAGAAGTCCAGAGTCACATATGTGAACCAGGATATCAGAAATCGTCAAAGTGAGGATCCAGTATATGAGCATGGAAAGGGGTGGTCTTGGACTTGGGGAAGAGTCAGGAAATTCTGGCCTGAAGCACAACAGAACCAAGGGTTTTACATTGAGCTGGCATTTTGGGGAGTAGAATTTGAATTTAGCATTTCCCTTTTCTCTTTGTGGCTATTATCCTAAAACAACATACACAATGAGAAGTGTACAGAAGACTCCACTTTGCATAAAATTAGCAAAAAGTGCTAACACTGCAGTGCATGAGATTATATTCCTCAAAAGCAGTGGATTATCAACCAATTGGTACATGTCCCAGGAATAGTGGGGAAAATGCCAGGGCTGTTAATCTCAGAAAGAGCCAGAAAAACACTTTCCAGATATTATGGGCACCAAAGGTGAGTGTTCAGGGTGGGGCTCTGAAGCTTACTGTACTTGTTTTGGTTCTGAGAACTGGAGGAAGCCAGGTTAAATTAGAAATTGTCAGAAAGCTGTCCTTTTCTAGAGTGTAAAACAATTTTATATTTAGAAAACTCCCATATACTTATAGTCTTTCCCCAGGGAAAAATGAAAACTAAATGAACATAGATACAAAACACTTTCCATTACCCATGTTCCTTCTCTAGGGGACAGTCATTTGACCTGATTCACCCTACAAGGAGCTGGTCACGGAAATTCTTGCCACCTTCGAAACAGAATAACGAGAAGAATGTCAGTGGGAGATAATTGTTATAAAAAAAAAGTGGAGATAAAGAACAGGGAAAACTAATGGCAGGGTATAAGCACTCAATGAAGAATTATTGCAAGAAGTAGCTGAATATTTTAACCAAATGTCTGTCTCTTCATGAAATAAACATAGAAAAACAGTTGTGCACTAGAAAAACTACCAGTGCAGTTTATTAAATGAACTCAGTAGGAAGAGAATGCAAAACCAATACTTGTTATGTATTTTATAAAATTTTACGCCCATAGGATATGCTCGTACATACACATGAGCATTCCATAGAAATATTTAAGCCAGGTGTGATGACACTTGTCTTTAGTAACTCCAGCCTCTTGAGAATCTGAGGCTGGATGATCACAAGATTGAGACCAGTCTGGGAACTTGGTGGGACCCTCTCAAAAACATGAAGGGCTATAGATGTGGCCCAGTAGAAGAGTGCTTGCCTACTATGCATGAAGCCTTGGGTTCAATCCCAGCTGTCCCATGAAAAGAAGAAATGTTCAGATGTAGTTCAAAGGTGTGTTCTTTTTTTTTTTTTTCTCTCATTTTAGATGTGAAGAAAATGGATGATTTAATTGAGACTAACCAGGGAAGTCAAGATAGCCATTTCTGGCAAGATGTAATGAACACCAACAACATGTTAACGGAGAAAAGAGATGGATTAGGAAACACTTTTTCTTTGACCCCAAATTGTATTTCAGATTTGATTATAAATAATAGAAAGTACTCACAAGTGACGCCTGAAGAGTTTAATATATGTCAGAACTCTCATCTCTCTTTTGAGCCTGAGGAGATGCATCCTGGAGAGAAATCTGGTGATGACTATAACATAACTGAGACATTCCTCGGATGTCCTGAACATTTTGATCAGCATCAAGAGTGTACTCTCAAACAAAATCAACAAATACAAACAGAGATGACATCCTGTGACTATCTTGAATGTGAGAAAAACATCATTAGCAAATTAGATTTTCCAGTACATCTGGGGACACATACAGAGCAAAGACCCTACTCATGTAACCAGTGTGAGAAATCCTTCAGCTATGGGTCAGACCTTACAGTCCATTGGAAAACTCACACAGGTGAGAATCCTTACAAATGTACTGAATATGTTCAATCATTTTACCAAAAATCTGACCTCAGAGACCCTCAGAGAATTCACACAGGGGAGAAAGTTTATGAATGTACTCAGTATGGAACAACTTACAGCCGGGAGTCAAACCTCACACTAAATGAGGCTGTCGACACTGTGGTGAAACTCTATGAATGTAATCAATGTGGAAAAACTTTTCGCCAGAAATCACACCTCACTCGACATGAGAAAATCCACACTGGGGAGAAACCCCATGAATGTAATCAATGTGGAAAAACCTTTGGCCAGAAGTCCAACCTCAGGAATCATCAGAGAACTCACACAGGGGAGAGACCCTATGAATGTAAGCAGTGTAGAAAAACCTTTTGCTGGAAGTCACAATTGACATATCATGAGGCTGTCCACACTGGGGAGAAACACTATCAGTGTAAGCAGTGTGGGAAAACCTTTTATCAGAAGTCAGGTCTCAGGAAACATCGAAGAATTCACACTGGGGTACCACCCTATGAATGTAATGAATGTGGAAAAACCTTTGGCCAGAAGTTCAATCTCAGGAAGCATCAAAGACTTCATATAGAGGAGAGGCCCTACAAATGTAATCAGTGTGGAAAAACCTTTTTTTGGAAGTCACAACTGAGTCAACATGAGGCTGTCCACGCTAGAGAGAAACACTATGAGTGTAAGCAGTGTGGAACAACCTTTTATCAGAAGTCAGATTTCAGGAAACATGAAAGAATTCACATTGGGGAACCACCCTATGAATGTAATGAATGTGGAAAAACCTTTGGCCAGACGTTCAGTCTCAGGAAGCATCAAAGACTTCATACAGGGGAGAGGCCCTACAAATGTAATCAGTGTGGAAAAACCTTTTGTTGGAAATCACAACTGAATCAACATGAGGTTGTCCACACTGGAGAGAAACACTATGAGTGTAAGCAGTGTGGAAAAACCTTTTCCCGAAAGTCCAGTCTCAGAAAACATCAGAAAACTCACACAAGTGAGAAATCCTATGAATGTAATGAATGTGAGAAAACTTTTACCAGAAGTCCTACCTCAGGAAACATCAAAGAATTCACACAGGGGAGAAACCTTATGGATGCAATCAATGTGGAAATCCCTTTTCCCAGAAGTCAGACCTCAGGAAGCATCAAAGAATTCATACTGGGGAAGAACCCTATGAATGTAATGAATGTGGAAAAGCCTTTGCCCAGAAGTCAGACCTCAGGATACATTAGACAATTCACACAGGAGAGAAACCCTATGAATGTAATCAATGTGGGAAAACCTTGGCAGGAAGTCACAGCTGACTGGGAAGAAACCCTATTAATGTAAGCAATGTGAGAAGACCTTTTGCTGAAAGTGTAAGCAATGTGGAAAAACCTTTAGCCAAAAGAAAACATCAGAGAACTCAGAAGTGAGGAACCCTTTGAATGTAGTGAATGTTGAGAATCTTTTACTAGAACTACAACCTCAGGAAGCATCAGACAGCTCTCACAGGGAGAGAAACCCTATGAATGTAATGAATGTGGAAAATCCTTTGCCAGAAGTGAGGGCTCAGAATGCATCAGGTATTCTTACTGGAGAAACCAAATGAATGTAAAGATTGTAGGAGAATGGGCTGGGGTTGTGGCTCAGTGGTAGAGCACTTGCCTAGCATGCGTGAGGTACTGGGTTCGATCTTCAGCACCATGTAAAAATAAATAAAAAAAGGTAAAAAACAAAATTATAGAAGGCTGGCATGGTGGCCCAAGCCTGTAATACCAGCGATTTGGAAGGCTGAGGCAGGAAGATTGCAAGTTCAAAGCCAGCCACAGCAACTTAGCAAGGCTCTGAGCAACTTAGTGAGGCACTGTCTCTAAATAAAATATTTTTAAAAAAATGGGGCTGGAGATGTGGCTCAGTGGTTGAGCATCCCAGAGTTCAATCCCCAGTACAAAAAAAAAGAAGTTTCTACTGTGTCATCCTTCACTAAATATGAGATAATCCACACAGGGCAGAAACAACTATCAACATATTCAGTGTTGAAGACCTATTATCAGAGGTTAGTCCTCAGGAAGCATCAAAGAATTCACAGTGAGAAGAAGAGTATGAATATAAACAGTGTGGAAATTTTTTTTTACCAGAAGCAGACCTCAGTAGGCATCAATGAACTCACAAAGTAGAAAAAATCTTATATGGTATAAACATACTACTCGTCCCCCAAAACTATTTTATTTTCTCTGGGACACAGCCTGCGTTTCTCAGGTTTTCATATGGTCACTATCATCAGTTAACTTAGCTCTGTCTGGGGAATATGGAAAAAAGGAACATTACTTTAAAACCTGCCAACATAAGAACAACCATTCAGTTATCTTAGATTTTTCTTTTAAAAAAAATTTTTTTTAAATGTTGATGTTAAGAGACATCCAAACTCTACTGTAGTCCTCATTCCAACTTTTAAAGGCATTGGCTGGCAACAAAATCTCAAATAGAACTTAGAGTACTTACAGAACAGGCCACAATTCCAGCTGCTTTGCCTGGTTCTGAGGCTACAATTGATACCATCATTTCCTACTAAAAACGTTGCAATTTTTTTTTTAACATTTTTTATTTTTTGGAAGTGGTTGGAAACAATACCTTTTTTTTTTTTTTTTATGTGGTGCTGAGGATTGAACCCAGGGCCTCACATGTGCTAGACGAGTGCTCTACCGCTGAGCCACAATCCCAGCCCCAACAATTTTTAATTTTTAATTGATGTCATACTTTTTAGCATTCTCATTTTTCCCACTTCAGGAACATGCTAATGATGTTTAAATAGGCATCAGTGAACTCACAAAGTGGAAAAAATCCCAAGTACACTCTCTGAGGCATTGAGGAATATATAAAGAAAAAAGATTAAAGAAATTGAAATGCTACATTACAAAATATTCACTTGTTTAGCAGTAAAAAGGAATGAAAAAATATGGGATGAATTGAAAACAATAATGGCAGACAGATCCAACAGTATCTAGAATAACTGTGTAAATGGATTAAGGAATATATCAAAAAGCAGCGATATTCAGATTTAATTAGAAAACAAAATACAACTGTATATGAGTAACTCAAAGTTACAAACAAAAGCAAACAGTTGAAAATGAAGCTATGTACACAGAAACCACAAAAAATTACTAAAATAGCTTTCTTAGTACTAGAGATGGATTTTGAAATAGAGATCCAAGGACATTTTATATGGATAAAAATATCACTCAGTAACAGAGGAAATACCAACATATATTTAGCAATTAGTTCTGTTCCTCTTCAAGGTGGTGTCTGGAGACACTGAGAATGGTCCAGCATTTGACATACTGTAGACATTTCTACAGTACAGCCTCTAAGTAGGCTGCCCCCAAACCCTGGAAACAGAGTTTGCCTTTACACCAAGGAGGTTGGGAAAGCACCAAAATCTGCATGTGTTGTATACCCAGGGATACTAATAGGGTGTTGTGTAGTAAAAACTAACATTCATAGGAGGTTGTCTAAAATGGAAAAAAAAAAAAAAAGCCAGCAAGGCCCATGGTTCCATCTGTGCTAAATGTCTTTGTGACAGGATTAAGCATATTTACCTTATTGAGGAGTAGAAAATTGTGAAAGTGTCAAAGGTTCAAGCATAGTCAGAAAGCTTAATGAAAAAATGAAACTTGAATCATAAAGTCTTGTTCTGTGGAAAAAATACATATATGTGCCCAATAATATATCACAGAACTATGTCAAATAAACAAATGGAAGAAATATAAAATTGAAGAATTCTGGTTAGAGCCTTCAGGACCTTATTCTCAATACAGGTTGGATGTGTGTGTGTGTGTGTGTGTGTGTGTGTGTGTGTGTGTGTGTGTGTGTCTGTGTGTGAATTAGAACTTGAGCCAAGGGGTGCTTAACCACTGAACCACATCCCCAGCCCTTTTTATTTTTTTAGAGACAGAGTGTCACTAATTTGCTGAGGCTGGGTTTGAACTTGCAATCCTCCTGCCTTTCAAAAAGGGAGACATGAAGCCTAATTCCTGATGCAATTCAGCGAGTTGTGTGTCCACATGAAGCCCAATTTCAGATTATTAGTGGTGACTTCCACTGAAATTAAACCCATAACTTGGCTAAATGCTCTGAAATGAGTGATAGAATCTCTCCCAGAACATAGATCTGACAGTACTTGCCTCCATAATAAAATAAAAAATTTTATAAGTGTGCATCACGTGGGAGATCAGCATTATTCTTAAAGTCAAAAGGAGCTATCCCAGAATGGTTTTGAGAATTCTATATCTGTTCCCAATCATTGCTAGCAGTTCATGAACTGCATGTCCACTGTTAAAATTTATCATTGCACTAACTATGTATATAGCTGAATAACAACAACATATAAGTTCATATAAATCAAAAACAAAATCAGCAAGCTTATTTCCCTACTTCTCAGTATTATTCTACTGTGAAAATGAATATAATTTAGCAGAGAGTTTAGAAAATAGTATAAACTTAGTTATTTTTTCAATATTTACTAATCCTATAATGACAATCTTTGTCAAAATTATTTTTGCAAAGTGCTCACATAACATTTGTTATTCCTTTGGTCTAAGATTACCTATGGAGTCGGGGATATAGCTCTGTGGTTTTAAAGTACCTGCCTAGCATGCAAGAGGACCTGGGCTCTATCTCTAACATAAAAAGAAAAAAAAAATAAAAACCTGTTTGCTTAGTTTAGTGGCTTTCATGCCACTGTGTTTATCAAATGAAAAGTGTGGTTGTCTCCAGATGTTGGATTTTCTCTGTATATTAGTACATATGTCTTTATTAAGTCTTTTGAAAGAGTAACAATTTAACATGTGAGCTCAGAAATAGTACCAAGGAGTATATATGCCCATCAAGGAGTATATATGTATAGAATGAACTACTCCTGTCAAAAACATATGGCCTTTTTGTAAAATAATTCAAAAATTGCACATAGTATACTATTTTAAAATGATTATAAATCTTTTTGTCCCACACTGAAAGCTTTTAAATCAAAGATGATGTTTTAGATATATATTTCATATTCAGCATCTTGTACAATTCATATGAATGCTCTAGATATTTTTATGGAATAAATGAATTAAATTTATAAGAAATAACAAGCTTTGTGGCACTGCATTCACTAATAAGGAGGGTCAGTGTGGTATAGATGAATTCTAGATAGGGCAGAGGGGTGGGAGGGAAAAGGAGGGGGCAGGGGATTAGCAAGGATGGTGGAATGTGATAGACATCATTATCCAAAGTGCATGTGTGAAGACATGAATTGGTGTCAACATATTTTATATACAACCAGAGATATGAAAAATTGTGCTGTATATGTGTAAAAAGAATTGTAATGCATTCCACTGTCATTTATTTTTTTAAAAAATCAATAAAAAGATTGATCTAAGTTTTTATAAACATAATAGCTCTTGGATAAATGTAAGAGGGACTATTGGGTTTGGAAGGAGAACAGAGAAAAGGAAGAACATCTCAGGTGGGTGAGTTTCTTAGTCAGCAATAAGCAAGAGTAGAAAGGAATGAATTGAAAAACATCAGCCATATAATTGAATAAGAATGCTATTTGGAAGACAGTGAAGGGGGTAGTTGGCAATTGTGCAGTAATAAAGAGTAAAATGAGTGGGACTAAATTATTCCTATCCCTGAAATTCAGACAGAAGAATTAAAACATAATTGATAGCAGGAAAATACTATGTATGCCAAGGTTGCCTGCCGCAGTCTGGCTGGCACAAAATCATGAGCCGCTCAAGCAGGAACAAACTTTACTTCCAAAACTCCCGCGAATGCCACGCACGCGGCCTTCTCCTGGGACACACCACACCAACAGGAAATCCCGCGAGTAGCTCCAAAGTAGCAGGCAAGGAGGACAGCAGGGGTCTAATCTCCAATTGAATGCACATCTTAACATAATCCTTATCTCAATAGCTTGCTGGCGTCACCTTTCAACCAAAAATTCCATGCATCATTCCTACTTGGCTATGGCTCTCAGCAGTTGACATTAATCTGTCCATCAGTCACACAGTCAATCACTTCAAGTTTGTTGTGTTCAGCACTGTGTATTTCCTGCAGATTTATCAGATTTCAATATAGAATATAGAGTTAGGGAAGAAACTAAAGACTTAAAATTTATTTTGGAAAAGATACACTGTTGAGTTAATATGGGATTCAGGATTCTGCAAAATTAACATAAGGGTAAAAGATGTATCTATGGGAAAATTCAAGGATGAAAAATAATATACAACCTGTTTACAGATTGTCTAGCAGGCATAATGAGAGGAAAAAAATGAAAGAG